AGGTCATAGTGGCAGTGGTTCATTTAGTTCAGCACAAAGTTCCAGCTCCAGCTATGCATGGTGAGTAGTGATCTGGTGATCAGAAATACAGAATCCTGGAGACTTATCATCAGGGGCAGATGTGACGAATGATTCAAACTGGTAGACTTAACAAAACCCAGCCAGGAACTAGCATAAGATAGATCAGTGTTGTTGTTTCTGAGCACTACAACCCTGTTGTGGATTTTTGCCTCCTCCTTTTTTGGAGGATTCTTGGTCTTGGTCGTGCGTGAAGTAGCGAGCAGACAAATTGTCTCTCATCCCGCAAATTACAATGTTCAAAGTTGATTAGAATGGATATAACAGTGGCTGTGGGCAAGTGTTCATGCAGCGCGCTGAGGATCATATAAACCTAATGTGCATTCACCAATATTGAAATAAAATGCCAACTGCATCAACACATTCTTTGCAAGAAATATATTTCATCACCAAGGATATTAAACTGATTTTAATTAAGTTTATGATCTGAAGATTTCGAGGCGACGAGGTATAGTCAATTCTACTTGGGTTACAAGTCGTGTCAGGACCTAACACAGCTGGTAACCCCAGAAGAATTTATTATGATTTTTATTAAATTTAGTATTGCAGTCTACAGTGAATGTAATCCATTTAATTTAATTCCTGTCTCGTATCAGCTAAATATGCCACTTTACTATGATGCTCAAATCAAATATCTGTAACAAAATAATATATACGTATATATCTTCATTCACATTTGTCCCGCATTTGCGTTTTACCTCTGTTGGAGGTTTACGATTGATCTGTTTTTTCTTTGGAATTAGAACTTCTTGCATGAGTGATCAGCCCGATGCAAGGTCTCTTTCTATACAAACACAGAAAGATGCAGACAAACATTAATGCCTTGAGTGGGACTCGAACCCACGGTCGCGGGGGCCAGGCGTACAAGGTCCATGTGTAACAAAAATATTAAAACTCTGAAATATAAAATTCCTCCATACCACTTAAAATCCACAATCTTTAAGCAAAAATTGCATTTTTACAATGTACAATGTAAAGGAACATGTCTGTGTTTTAACATACCTGTTCAATTTATTAACTTCAGAACAACAGGTTTGCATCTACAATAAATTAACACAAGAAACAATGAAAGATGCAGAATTCTAAAGAACATATTTACGTAATATTTGTACTCCAGTTTTTTTTATATTTAATGACAATCTGTCAACTACGCTACTTATACATCATTGAATGAAAAATGTTATGACATTTAGAACTGCCGCCATATCCTGCTTTAAAATCAATCTTAAGATACATTCACACAGGAAATGTAAAATAATAATTTCTATGTCCATCAAGATGGATGCTTCAGATGTGCTGTCTAGTAATAAAAATGTAGTTGCAGGACTGCTACAATAAGGGTGACCAGATTAACACAATTTTTTTTTCAGGGGCCGGTGAAACCCACAGGATACAAAAACAAAACTTCCCATCTCACATGAACATTCTTTGACCTTTCAAACTACATGAGTACTACTGAAGAAAAGCCATATCAGTGATGTATACCCCACAACCCACGAATGCCTGCACTCCACATCAACGCCCGCAAGCTACTTTCATGAACAGAATACTAAAAATATTTACAAGCTATTCAGCTGAACTTAACTAAGCACCAGGCCACAGCTGCCTCCAAGTTTCAGTGTCTCAGATAAGCCTAAATACTGCCAGCCTTCATACTGATGGTCTTCCAGTACTTCAATTTAAGAAATATTAGTCATTAGAGCATCTCGCATAACAGCATTTTATATTTTCTTTACATTATTAGCTCTCTTTGAATTAAATACATTATGAAATTTACAATGTAAACTGAAACAAATGGTATTTCTTTTATGACCTGAACAGGTATTAAAACTTCGTCACACTCTGAATTCTAATATTTTATCTTATAGAATCTCCTGTTGTTATATTTCCATGGCAACAATTTGTATCACTAAAAAGCTATAAGCAGCTTCGACTGTTCTGAGATGGATGATTCCTTCTCAAACACAAATAAACCCCAGACTAGGAGGGTCAATGTCTTTAAGTGATAAACCTCATCATGGAAGGATTAAATTGGAATTAATTCAGTAAATGTTACCCATCATCACACTCCATGGAGCAATATTAATTTAAATGCCAGAATTAATCCACATTTCATGTCTCTGTAATTTTTTTTAAGTAGAAATATGTAACTCAGAATCTTTAAATAAACATTTCTCTTCATTAGCATTTTTAATTATCTCTTAATTAGGTTACAGTAATTGTGCAGTGGAACACCAACACTTATATTTCAGGTAAAACATTTTTCTTGCATAACTTTCCCTATTTAGTTATTTATTTATTTAAACTCAATAGGGACAATGTAAGAGAAATGTTGATACTGAAAGAATTTGTTTTCATTCTGAATGTCATCGCCCTGATAATGGAGGCAATATGACCTCCGAAACGTTGGTGGAAATCTACCAGACTACACGGTACAATAACCCAGAACGCACCAATCTTCAGACCCACCGCTGTGAAAACCCCAAATACTACACAGCCTTGAAATACATCCTACATCACATGGTATCATCACCCATCCATCACAAGATCCAGATTAGGCCTGAAATGCTGTAAAAGCCTGGAATCTGACACCTACGTCTTGTTGTAAAACTGTGGAAGGTCTGAATAGCTGTATTAATGATCACAAGGTGTCACTGATTTTCATTTCACAATACTATTTCTATATTGCTGCCAGATTCCTGTTGAATGAATGCCAAGTATTCATCGCCTTGATGACGGAGGCAGTATGACCTCTGAAACGTTGGTAAACATCGACCAGACTACACAGCACAACAACCCAGAAGACAGAAATCTTCATACTCACCGCTGTGAAAACCTCGAATCTTACATAAATACCAAGTATTGTTTAGAAAACATCAGTTCTGAATATATATGTACCAAAGTTACAACATTT